TTGAAAGGTTGATGTATCTGAAATGATAGAAATGAGATTAGAACAAGTGAACTAGCGATTTAGAAGCAAGTGTACGTACCGTGAAGCCATATGTGACCACAATCGTTGTTGAATGACACAAAAAGTATATGTTAATCGTGAATCTATATCTATCTTATGTACAAATGCCTGTATCAATAGAACGTGGTCTGTATAAATTATATTTTAAAAATTAATATTCATATTCTTGTGTAGAAATATACTGGCATAAAATAGACTATATATATATATATATATAAATTTTTCCAATTTTTGGAAATTTTTTCTTTTTCAAATAAATTTCATTTGCATTTTTTCTATAAGATCATTATTTATAGTATTAAATACAGCCGACTTTTTAGGACTTATTATATTATTATTATATTTTACCAAATAGCATGTACTTTTTTTCGTCTTTTTTTAAAATTATGTAATAAAAGCATTAAAAAGAACTTTCAATGGTGATTTCACAAACTAAAATACATAAATTAAATTAGTTTTTTCAAAAAATCTAAACCGAAGTTGCTTATCATCGAAAAAAAACCAATCTTCTTTTTGATGAAAAGTTATCAAGAGATTAACTTTTTATCAATACACTGGTACTGGCATCAGGAGTGTAGTCAGCGGAGGAGGTAACAGGGTGCCAGAGCATCCCTTGACCAAAAAAGTCTGGAGGGAAGTAAGGATAAAAGATTCTTCTGAAAGATAGAAATTTATTTTGCTGCTGACGTGCATCCTCATAATGAATCGGCACCTCCCTCAAGAAATTTCTGGCTACGCCACTGATTGTCACTGATATAACTATTTTTTTTATATTATGCAGAATAAATATAGCAAACACATGCAAAGATACATTAATGTATATGATGCACTAATTATTAGGACAAATAAAAAAGTCATGAAAAAGAAATCGAATATTGTTGAGCATTTAACAGTTTTCAAATAAGATTTATCTTATAGGTATTGGTTGGTCAAAAATTTTCTAGTGGGTATAATATTCATGCATGTCTTTTATTGTAGCTTTCAAATATGAATAAATAAAATATACAAGTTCATATGATGCGTTATAATTTTTCTTTTTGTCAATGAGCTTTCATTATATAAAACGATACTCAGATGATGATATATTAAGGAAATAGTTGGAAATTGAGATGCAGAATTGATTTTATATATCTAGAATATACATTCGAACATTAAATATGAACACTGATGATACATGAAAATGATATTTGTTTAATTAGTAAGCAATTGATGACGAGAAGGTACAACCAAGTTTATCTATCGAATATATAAAATACTAGAAATGGTTTAATTTAAAACTTTAAGTCGAATACAAACACACATATAGTATTCAAAATTTTCAACACATAATTCTCTTTTTAAGGATACCGAAAAAAAAAGATTTTGGTAAACGTCTTTGTATTTATAGAAGAATGTGTATCTTCAAAACTTATGAATCTACAGAGACATTTAAAAGCAATATAATTATAACATCAATCACTCGTTGAATTTTAGAATGATGAGCAGCACATATTATCTTTGATATCGTATGCTTTTTTTCTCAAGTGAACAAGAGTTTTAATAATCGAATGATCTTCGTGATCAAAATATATTTTAACAGCTTTCAAATTGAACAAAATTCTTTTAAATTTCTTTTAAATCTTCTGTGTACTTATAAAAGTAATTACTTTCATTAAGTAATGGAATTTGGTATCACAGAAGTCAAACCATAACAGCGCCACCTATAAAAAAATTTTAGGATTTTTTTGAGTACACATCATGATCATAAGTAAGAGAAGAACTTGTTAGATGTGGTTCATAAATGAAATAGGAAATGAAGTTTTTTTCTAATATAAAGTCCTCCAATAAAACTGTTGGTTTCTTTATGTGTTTAGTTTTAAAATGTGTTCGTTACATAGACTGTTAATCTTTCTATAGAAAACATGGTCGGGGTTTCAACAGTTTTATAGCAAAACAATTTAGTGCAAGTTGTTTTTATAGTTCATAATCGAAAACTATATCTAAAAAAATTAAATTTAACTCTTTTTTAGATTTAAACTCAGAATATTTTTATGTATTTCTCTTTTGTTTATTTCCAGATGGAAGAAAAACGTTGTCGACGAAACTCTGTTTCAAGTGTTCATTCACAGTCGAATTATTCGATTGCAAATGTTCAATGCTCCGGTGACCATACTCATGCTATAGTCCAAAGAGAAAAAGATAATAAAGTTATTCTTGTACCTTTGGATTGTTTTATTAATTTTGGTAAAATTGTAAAAGCAAATGAAACTGCTACATACAAGTTAACCACGGATTCCAGAAAATCAGAACGTGGAAAAGTATTGCTTTTCGGTTAGTTTGTAATTCTTCAAAATGCTTATACAATTTTTTCTGCTTATTTTTTTAAAGGTAGTGAAGATTTATGTGTTGAACAACTTCAAGTTATACAAGAGGAGAATATTGAAGAAGATCAATTTTCAGGAAAAACAAAATGTAAATATATGTTACGTTGTACTGCAATAAAGAAAGCGTTCGCTCAATTACGAAAGATATTCGGCAGGGTTATCGTGTTAGAATATATTATATATGCTGTTTCTATGATTAGAAAATGATTGAAGGATTCATTTTTTGAGTCTGACAGTCATATTAGATAATTATCGCCATATATAAACGATGATTGTCTTGTGATATAAAAAGGCATATCAAATACCTTTTGGAATATGTTCATCTAGCAAAATCTATTTAGTAGTTTTCTAGCAACAAAACTCAATAATTTGCACTGAGATCTGTTTGAATCTATTAGAAACATAATAATTTTAGTTGAGAGTGACGATTTGTTATGAATAGCTATTTTTGTTCACGATCTTTTATAACAAAAAAAAACGTACAAACTCTATTTTTGTCTATTACTTGATAACTGAAATGCTTTACTTGTTTGTAACATATAGACAAAACAAATTCATCATCGAAAATTTCAAATAATATCAATCGTGAAAAATGTTTTATGGATATAAAAAAGAATCAAGTGAGCTTATTCATCTATACTATATGAAATTAATTGATGCTTTTTCTCTAGATACTCAACTTCAAAAGAATAAATATGGAAAATTACGTTATGGATGGTGCAACAACACAAATAGAATCATCAAAAATAAATGGTAATTTTTCTTTTTCATAGCTATTAAATTAGGAATATCCATGAAAAAGTCTAGTTTGTACCATCACTGTTCTGTTAATACAGTAGGTGCTTAAAAAACCTACTTTACAAATGATATACAATTTTATACAATTTTCAGTGATGAATTTGAAGAACCAAAATACTTTAATTGATTTTTAGAAATAATTCTATTAACAAATAAAGACAACATCTTTTAAACCATCATCGATGAGAATTTTTGAATATAAATATCGAAATGAAAGATCGAAGATCTTGCATTCAAAAAGAAATATGGAGCTGTTTACACATCGAGACATAAACAGGTGTTATTTGCATCTTATAATATTTTTCACAGAAGATCATTGTTAAATTCTCTCGACAGTCATATTATAACTTAAATATCAACTTCATATAGTGAAAGAATGAGAAAAATGACCGAATTAATATGCTAATTATCTATAATTTTCATGGAAGCATTTTTCTAACAAAGTCTTTCGCCAGCACGAAGTATTGAAGTAATTATCATCGAAAAGATATCTATCATTTATGATTTAAACTATTTCACTTTTTGAAAAATAAATTGGTTTTTATCGACTTATTTGAATTTTATATATAACCATAATTTCTTTTTTGATTTAGAAATTGATGATCAATTTGATGCATCACCTTCAAAAAAAATAAATTCGGCTAGTAGTATTACTGTTGGATCACCAACACGTTTTGGAAAAAAAACATCTCAAGTTAAACGAAAATTGTTTAATGATAACACTGAATTCTTATCAACTAATGAGAATATTTTTGGAGGTTAGCAAAGTTCTTTTTTTAAGAGAAAATTTCTATAAATAGCCGGTGTTTTTTATAAGCGTCTTCAGTCGATATCCTAATATCAGATTCGTACACATTTCTTTTACCTAATTTATAGTTTTAGAGGATGAAGTTTATGAAATCAATGATTGTTCAAAAAAAACAAAATTCAACAATCTTGTTGCTGGTGAATCATCAGCAAAACGAATAACTGATGTTAACCATCAAATTCTGTCAAAAAAGTTAACTTCAACTGCCTCATCAAGCCA